TGATTCCACCTGCCAGTAGTGCAGTGCCGAAGGTTTGGCAAGTCACGTAACAAAACCTTTGGAAGTTGGAATTAGAAACAAGAATAAGCCATAGCACCGCTGCCCGGGCAAGATTTCCCTCGTAGCACACTGTATGGCGTATGACCACTTTCATTAGCCCGGTTGATGCAGAACAGTAGGACGTTAACCCCATTTCAATTCTATGATTCAGTACGAGAGTGTTTTTTTTAAGTGTGAAAAGTAGACGTTAATGTCATGTTTTACTGACTTTATGAGACTTTATACATGTCGACGGTTTTATTAAATCAGGAGTCTGAGCCAGAATAAAAACATATAATATCTATTCTAGAAGACAGACGTATTACAATGGGGTCAACAAGAAGGTCACATCATTTCTCAACGTATCGACTGTTGGATATTGACCGAGCCCGAGCAGACGTGAATTATGACAGGAGTTATATGTCATTGGTTATTGGTTTAAATCCTAACTCAAACCTCATTTGTTGGTTACTAATTATCACGATTAGTTATTATCTTCCGGGGAAGGGGGGGGGGGGTAGATGGCCGAATGGTTGGCACGTGCGCGCTGTATCATAAGGTCTGTTATTACGTCAACTGATGTTGTGTTTTGATTCCCTGGTTGTACGTGACAAGGATTAGAGTCGCCTGTCCAACCTCGTGGGTTTTCTCAGGATCCCCACCCCCACCCACTGCTAAATAACCCTACGCGCGAGCGAATTATTGAAATAAAATTGAACCATATGTTAGTCCCGAAATGACCTAGTTTGTGTCGAGTGGACGTTACCCCCTCCTCTCACTCTCTGTGGCTAAGAGGGTAAGGCGCTGACTCGCTAGCCTGGAGGTCGGGTGTTCGATCCCTGCATTGGCCGAGAAAGTTCAACTCGATTTTCCGGCGTGGTTTCCCCTTGTCAGTGATGCAGAACGGAGGGCCTGACAAGGACAGCTGCCTAGTCGTTCGGATGGGACGAAAAACCGAGGTCCCGTGTACACATTGGCGTGCACGTAAAAGATCCCTTGGCAGTTGGAATTCGATATAAGAGTAGGCCGTAGCGCCGCTGCCCGGGCAAAATTTCCCTCATAGCACACTGTATGGCGTATGCCCGTCTTCAATTAGCCCAGGTTAGGTGCAGAAGAGTAGGACGTTAAACCCCATTTCATTCTCACTCTCTCTCACTCTCTCTCTCTCTCTCTGTACGCTAAAAGCATGCAATATGGATGGAGTGAGCACAATCATCATAAAAGTACATTAGTATTGTTATCCAGACTCATTTAAACCATCCAAATATCCATTTCTCACTTTCAATATGGCGTCATATTACATCAGTTTTCATTGCTTAAAACTTTGGATTTACAGTTGAGCAGATGGAAGTTTTGGTCCAGTGATTTCATGTTTTTAACTGGGATTGGGATGTCCCGGCCTGGATCCTGGGGATTTGCCCTGAAAGTTCCCCAAGATTTCCAGAAATATTGCCTCGTGTGCACATAAAAGAACCTTATACTAACAATTTATACACAGTTTAATTTTGTCCAATAGTTTGATAACGATAAGAGAATACTTATCGAAACGTCGTGCTATATGTGTATAAACCAGTGATTGTTTTCCATATAAATTGTCTTGGGTTTTTTCTTTACTTTTTGATAATTTTGTATTTTTTGATAATTTGCGTTGATGGATATTGCATGGATAATTTAAAAGGTTTTCGATATGTCTATAAACCAGTGATCGTTTTGTCTTGTTTTTTTTTTGTGTTGTTTTTTTTTACTTTTTGATAATTTTGTATTTTTTTGTAATTTGCGTTGATGACATATTGCATGGTGAATTTAAAAGGTTTTATTTGTAGTCAAATAAAAGAGACTTGAGTCACGAGAGATGTCTATTATTCCAGTTGTCAGATGGCTAATCAAAGTAAGGGTCATTGCACGTTTTGTTATGGTAATGCGTTCGACAGAGACGAATGATTGTTAATAAGACGCCTGGGGGGAGATCGACGCCATGTTTATCTCCCATAGCAACGCCTTGTGAAGTGACGTGTAAATCCATTTTGTGACATTTCCATTTCCAAACGAACGACAAGCAATTGTATAAACTTATTTACCCCGTCTAGTGACAATTAATCTAAGAGATATGGGCGTGGTCTTGTGATGTCAGAGGTATCAGGTTACACTTGATATAGAGATTGTTCTTTCTAAATGAGACCTCTCCTCATTAAATTTCTCAAATAGCAAACTTCAGGACCAATAGCCGTCTTCATTATCCCGGTACGTTACACCACGTGTAGTCCTTCGGATGGGACCAAAACCCAGGTCCAGTGTACGTCAAAGAACCCTTGGTTGATGGAATTACACGAAGAGTAGGCAGAGAAGTCACTGTCCGAACAAAATGTCCCTCATAGCACACTGTATGGCGTATGCCCGTCTTCATTAGCCAAGTTGGGGCAGAAGAGTAGGACGTTAAACCCCATTTCATTTGAATCTTGTAGATAATATATGTCTGGTTTCTTTTACCAGAAACAACACAATGACTCATTTCTCACATCCTATACATTATTACATTTTATCATGCACGCACATGTACAAGCACATGCATGTCTGTGAGATAATTAACAAAGAAAAATTACCTCAAGTCAGCCTTATACTAACTTGTAATCATGTGATCACTCGGCTATAATTACATTAATTATGGTCGATACTTCTCTTGCATGTTAAATAGCTCGTATAGCCTCCTATTCTCCATTTTACAAAATCGAAATGTTCCCCCCGTCCCATGGGAGACAGTTTGTGTTAATGGGATATTTGATTCGATTCTTTCATATCAGGTCATTCCTAGCCCTAACTATCGAATTGGATTTGTTCACAGTGAGGTGATTGTGCGTCTGGCTGATCGTATCCCTAGTCCTAACCCCCGAATGTTATTTGTTCAGTTAAGTGATTGTACGCCTGGGTGACCAAATCGCTAGCCCTAACATCGAATTTGATTTGTTCCGGCTTTGGTGATTTTGCGTCTGGTTGATGGAGTCCCTAGAACAAACTCATTCGGCAAAACTCGACAGACTCCGGTACCCTAGCTCTAACCTCGGCTGTATGAAGAATTAAGCCATCGGAACAACTTTCAAGTTCCCGGATCAAAAATGGCTTCGCCTATGAAGATGCCTGTGAAGGATGTTTTATCTCAAGAAACTGTTTCTGGTGTATTTCCAATAGCAAACGCTTACAATGCTTGACTAAACTCTACACTCTTCGAAAACTTCTTTCTAAAAGCGGAAAGTTTTCCTTATAAGTAAACCGGTAGCCGCATCACAATTGTATGGGTGTAACTGCATATCACTTACCGTCATACAGCCGAGGTTAGATGTAGGGTACCGGAGTCTTCCCCCCTAACAATCGAATGTCATTTGTTCGATTAAGTGAATGTGCGCCTGGGTGATGGAATCCCTAGTCTCCAAAGACTAGGCATTTGACACGGCTCTTGAGGGAAAATATGTGTTCCTCAAACGTCTAATACTCTCTACAGATGTTGGGTTATCATTAGGTTTTCTCGGTCGTTTATGGCCTTCCTACGGATTTTCCAGGACGAAATGACTAACCCTGCGGATAGTCAAAAAACAGGTCCCGTAAAATAATCCTTGCCTTGGAATTGGATGAAGGATAGGCGGAAACGCCGCTGTTCGTGCAAAATTGTCCCCATGGCACATTGAATGACAAATGGTCGTCTTCATTAGCCCGGTTGGTGCAGAAATGTAGAACGTTTCATTTCATTTGATTTCAGGTTGTGTGTGTGTGGGGGGTGGGGGGGTGGCGGAATGGTTAGTGCGTGCGCGTTGTATCATAAGGTCTGGCATTGAGTCAGCTAGCGTGGTTTCGATTTCCCGGTTGTACGTGACTAGGAATAGGGTCGCCTGTCCAATCTCGTGGGTTTTCTCCGGGTCCTTCGGTTTCCTCCCACTGCTAAAGACCCCTATGCGCAAACGAATTATTGAAATAAAAAATTGAACCATATGTTAGTCCCGAAATGACCTAGTTTGTGTGGAGTGGACGTAAAACCCCATCTCTCTTTCTCTGGTTATAAATGAGACAGGGTTGGTAGATGAACTGTCAGATGAAATGAGAAGACATGAGAAGAGAGTTGTGATAGCGTGATTAAAGACAATAAAACTAGCTGTAAATATTAAATCGATTCCTGCTTGTCTCATATATATATAGTATATCTATCTAGATATTATTACATTTATCTTTAACAAGTAAATTACTTCCACTCTTGTCTTCCTTTATATAACACATTGACTGATAACTGTATCATATAGTCTCCTAGTATCATTATCATCTTCATCATTACCATCGTCATCACCATCTTCATCATTACCATCGTCGTCACCATCTTCATCATTACCATCGTCGTCATCAACTTCATCATCACCATCTTCGTTACATTTCATCATTACCATCGTCGTCACCATCTTCATTATTACCATCGTCGTCGTCATCTTCATCATTACCATCGTCGTCACCATGTTCATCATTACCATCGTCGTCACCATCTTCATCATTACCATCGTCGTCACCATCTTCATCATTACCATCGTCGTCATCAACTTCATCATCACCATCTTCGTTACATCTTCATCATCACCATCGTCGTCACCATCTTCACTGCCATCGTTGTCGCCATCTTCATCATTACCATCGTCGTCGTCATCTTCATCATTACCATCATCGTCACCATCTTAATCATTACCATCGTCGTCGTCATCTTCATCATTACCATCGTCGTTACATCTTCATCATTACCATCGTCGTCGTCATCTTCATTATTACCATTTTCGTGACATCTTCATCATTACCATCGTCGTTACATCTTCATCATTACCATCGTCGTCACCATCTTAATCATTACCATCGTCGTCGTCATCTTCTTCATTACCATCGTCGTTACATCTTCATCATTACCATCGTCGACGTCATCTTCATTATTACCATCGTCTCTACATCTTCATCATTACAATCGTCGTTACATCTTCTTCATTACCATCGTTGTCACTATCTTCGTCATTACCATCGTCGTCACCATCTTCATCATTACCATCGTCGTCACTATCTTCGTCATTACCATCGTCGTCACCATCTTCATCATTACCATCGTCGTCGTCATCTTCATCATTACCATCGTCGTCGTCATCTTCATCATTACCATCGTCGTCACCATGTTCATCATTACCATCGTCGTCACCATGTTCATCATTACCATCGTCGTCACCATGTTCATCATTACCATCGTCGTCACCATCTTCATCATCACCATCGTCGTCACCATGTTCATCATTACCATCGTCGTCACCATCTTCATCTTCACCATCGTCGTCATCTACACCTTTTATACTGGACTGACTGATAAATCACTAAAAGCGTCATCATCATTACCATCGTCGTTATCAACAACATTTGTTATGAGAGTGGATTTTTATCACCATTGCCATCGTCGTTATCAACAACATTTCCCCATTTCACACGTTTATCACTGGTCAAAATCAATTTCATTATCATTCATAATTTATTATTTTTACCCTTTCTTCAAAAGACCTGTTGTTTTTTTGGTGTATTTTTATTTTTTATTTATTTACATTGGTGTATAACTGGCGAAGAAAAATCATTGATTTCTAGAAATCTGTATTCTTGGTTCCAGCAGCTTTCCCAGGAATAGTGAGTGACACGTTTCCATAGAAATGTCAACATTCACCAAATGACTGAAAGGTGATAATTTGACGTCCCTTTGGACATCGTTTGGCTAATTTCATTTTATTACCATCAAATCTTTCAGCTAAAGTGTTGAAAGGCCGCCATGGAGATCTTTCTGAAATCGATCTTGTGAAATTTTAGTGACTTTGGAAATTGAATGTAGCGCGCCCCACTCATATTACTACGCCATTGTTCCTGTGCACGGGGTGGGTGGGGGTGGGGTCGAATCCGAAGGACCCTTGACAAATGAAGGACGGGCTTGCAAAAGGCTGCTGGTTATTTCCGTCCCACACCGAGTTCCCGACCCACACCGGGTTGCCCGACCCACTCATTGTACGAAGCAAGCCAAAACCTGGTCTCCCGCGTTAATTGTGGAGGGGAGGGGAGGGGGATGATCGCGCGAAATCACAAGGTCTGTCATTGAGTCAAGTGGCGTGGTTGTATGGGACAAGGAATAAGGTCGTCTGTCTAACCTCGTGGGTTTTTTCTGGGCCCTCCGGTTTCCCCCTAGCTAATTATTAAAATGAAATTGAACCACGTGTTAGTCCCGAAATGACCTAGTTTGTGTCGAGTGGATGTTAAACTCTCTCTCTCTCTCTCTCTCTCTCTCTCTCTCTCAACGTGTGTATGAAAGCCAGCTTGTTAAGAAACGGAGGAAAAGCTGAAAAGTATGGCCGTCAGTAATTACATTTCACCGTTTAATAAGTTTCACCATATGACAGGTCAGTTGCCTCAGACGATTTCCAGGCAAGATTTAACCTCAACAGCCAACAGGGGTTTATAGAGAGTTGAAAACCTTCATAGTCTCCATCAACCAGACATATATACGTTGAAGACTATGAGGTTCTAGGTGACCGAGACTATAAGATTCACCAGTATAATCACCCAGCCTCAGGCCAACCGTCGTTCCTTTTATTCCTACACGTTTCTGCTCTGTATTCACTAATAATGCATTTTGAATTTGAATTTGAAACACACGTCGCATAATCTTCGTCAAAAGATTGAAACCAACCACTTAAAAAACTGTGGATTTAATGTAATTTTAGTAAAGTGGATGTATGTCTCTATTTTAAGATGAAGTCCAGACTCCTGAGATAGAGTAATGGTTGAGATGTTACAGATTTTCATGTTCAACAGTCAAATACGGAACTAAAATGAGAAAACAATCCGACTTCCGCTTGATATTTCAAAATGAAAATTAAACACACCATTAAAACGCAATTTAATACTTTATTTTGATCTGATTCAAGTGAAATGAAATTCGGTGGAATTAAAACGGCCAACATTGCTACTCCGACTGGGCTAATAAAGACAGGGATACCAGAAGCCTATTTTTAAACGGTAAGATCACATCATTAATGTTGATTTAAAGTGATCAATAAGTCATGTTTTCATTGTCGAAGACTGTGGATGATATTGACTTAAAGACTTGGCTACTTTAAATAATAGGGGCGTTGGATGGCCGGATGGTTAACGCGTGCGCGTTGTATCATAAGGTCTGTCATTGAATCAACTGGCGTGGTTTCGTTTCCCCTGTTATACGTGACAAGGATCCCTACGAGCAAGCAAATTATTGAAATAAAATTGAACCATATGTTAGTCCTAAAATGACCTAGTTTGTGTCGAGTTGACGTTAAGCCCCATCTCTCTCTCTCTCCCTCTCTCTCTCTCTCTCTCTCTCTCTATCTCCCTCTCTCTCTCTCTCTCTTTAAATAATCGTGTTAAGCGTGAATCAAGCTGCGAAAACTTGTTAAAAATTTTTTTTCGATAAATGCAAATGACGGAAAGAAACCGAAAAGAAAAATGATGAATTTTGGTTTTGGAAATAGAATGGCCAATGTGTCATCCATCATGTGCTTGTGTTTCAGCAGAAGGAAATCTCTCAGTGCCGATCTCTGTAAGCATGTTCTTTAGTAATTTATCTTACTCTGTGCTTGGAGCTTTTATCCCAGTAAATACTTCAAAATAATTAATCTTTTCTGAGATGTTATTCTATTTCATGTACATGTAATAGAATATATAAGGCTTTATCTTGGAACTTATAATACAGGTTCATGACGTTATAAAGCAAATGCGATTCCATTTCTAATTACACAACCAAAAATGAACACAGAATATTTTGTTATTGAGTACAGTAAAACAATGTCTGTTGTAAGAGAGAGATAGAGAGAGGGGGGGGGGGGAGAGGGAGAGAGAGGGGGGAGAGACAGAGAGAGAGAGACACCGCGGTTCGCTCTTTTTTAAAGATATACAGGGTCAGGAACGGATACAGCGAGGGGATGGGTGGCCCCCTCCCCTGCTCAGCTACATAAAAAAAAATTGTAAAACAACACTCGTGTGCTTTATCCTTTATTATCAAATGGTGGGATGGGATGGGCACTCAAAGCGAAAGATATTGATATAGACATAATGTGGTATCGCAATTAATGCTTCGCATTAATGAAATTGAATCACAATGTGATCCTGTTAATTCATAATAAAATTGGCGCCAAACACGGGGTGTTGGATTGCTCTCTTTAAAAAGCTCGGTGTATATGTATATACGCCATTTAATTCTCAAACAATTTCAAGGTCGGGGGTGGGGGCGGGAAGAGCCCCCACCCCCCGTTCTCAAAGATACATTGTCTCGGGAACCTGGCAAACCCCTTCCTTTAAACTTCCTGGATCCGCCCCTGTGTATACGTGATAGAGAGGAACATGTGGTAAACCCTAGTTAGATGTAAACAGATTGATCTTCACAGAAATAGAATCCCTACTTATCTTTTAAATCATCGCAAATAGATGGCGGATTTTACACTACAATAACAATCTTATAGTCGGCTCGAATTACGCATGCGTGTTAAAGGCTTCAGTCACACAGCAAGTAAAATTAGAATTCCATAAAACAGAAATCAAATTTCTGCCCGAATATACTCGTATGTCCTCATATCAAATGTAATCGCCTGTCCTGGTATCAAAAATGTTCATTTGTCCTGATATCAAATATAATTGTGTGTCTTGATATCAAATATATTCATCTGCCCCGATATAAATTATAATCATATGTCCTGATATCAAATATAACCACCTGTCCTGATATCAAATGTAATCATCTGTCCTGATATCAAATATAATTGTCTGTAATGGAATATGTGAAATAACGTTAATCCTTTTCTTCGTTAGTGTCTAATCGTTCGGGTGGCACGAAAAACGGAGACCCTGTGTACACGAATCTCTGCACCTAAACGGAGACCCTGTGTACACGAATCTCTGCACCTAAAATAACCGTTGACAGTAGGACTTGAGTTGTTGTTCAGGCAACATTCCCCTCTTATAACACACACTGTATGACGTATGGTCGTCTTAATCACACCTGTTCGAGTAGAACCGTGGATCTTCAAACCCCATTACATTTTATTCCTTTTCTTCTTTAATAGATCGCCTGTCTCACCTCGTGGGTTTTCTCCCCCGGTCCTCCCACTGCTAAAGACCCCCACGCGAAATTAAATTGAAACATATGTTAATCCCGACATGTGTTTAGTGAACGTTAACCCAATCTCTCTCTCTTTTTCTCTCTCTCCGTTATTGTGACCTAAAATGTAGATGACATTGTCTTTCTGGATGAAGATCTAAACTCGTCTACAAGGTGACAAACATGTGGGGAAATGAGCAAAATGGTCAATTTTTGTCGATTGAGGTTTCGTTCGGTGTAATTTTACCCGATTTAACGAGAACGTCATGTAAAAAGAACTGGACCATGACAAGGATCTAGCTGACCGTTTGTCAAAACTTATGACCGTGTTAAAAATGAACCTGAAATGAGAGAAGGGTCAAATAACAGTATTGCGTAGATAAGATACTACTAAGAAATATGCACGCACGCAATATAACAGATTTCTTGATGACATTTCGTCTTTTTCCCCATTTCAATATTAAATTTCTCTCTAAAACTAAAATATTCGTAATTAGGAAAACTAAAATGTGTTATTAATGAAAAGGTTAGCGTAATATCTGATTATAATGTTGCTTTGTTAAGACTTCCGTCATGTATTTAGTTTTTGCTGAAATAAGTAGTTTATTTCACGATGTGTAAAATACATGCGAACAATGGGTGATTAATTCCCCTCTTAGGTTGATGGCGTGGGTCGATATAATATAATAAATTTAATCATTTCACTCTTGCATTATGTGGATTTAATTTGATGGTAGGAAACAAAACAGCTTAAATACAAGCATACATCGATTTCTTAAACCTGGAAACTGGCTCCATGATAATCTTGTCATTCTCCTTCTTCATCTTGAGTGGGGGGGGGGGTTCCCCCGTCAGAACAATATTACATCGATATGAGTTCAAAATTGCAAAATGTGTGCGATGACGTCATGCTCGATTCAACATTATCCAAGAGATTATACGATCACGTGATCATCAAATAAAGTTGGTAACCCCCAAGATGGAGTAGAATGCATTTGGTGCACAATCTGTCAGTCTTCTTGCTTCATCAAAATGGAATAGTTTTGCAGTATTAAACAAAAGTGCTGCTTCTACAATATGATTATAAAAAAACCATACATGTATACACTTAATAAACAATAGAATACAAAGGAATGGTCAAGTTACAATATACAAATTGAAGGTGAAAGCATTTAAATTATAGTTCAATTTAATTAAAGAGTTTGTGGAATAGGCGCATAGATCATACATCATACATAATATATGTATTAAGTACTATAGACGTGTTCATATTATTATTAACAGAACTAAGCCATAATGTATATCATGTGGCCTAAACCATACAAAATAACAACACAAAGATTGTCTATCAATCCCTGTCTAGATTATACGGGGATTAGAGAGGGATTAACATAACATAAACGTCATTAACATTTCCCACAAATCTCTACACAGACAAGGGTCGTTGTTGGCCATTTCAGTTTCTGCCTGGGTACACCCTATAGCTGACTTGTCAGGAGATAGAAGTCACGAATTGTTTATTCGTCATGGCGTTAATTATATCAAATTATGTTCGGTTCACTCAAGTTGTAAAGCTCCTTGTTACTGGAGTTGGTCTCATGTAACCATTTAACCTTAAAGATTCAAAAATGTTTTCGTTCCGAGAAGGTTATTGAGGCTAGAATCCTGGAACAGGATATAATATGATTATGTATTTAATGAAATGAAATTGGGTTTAACGTCCTATTTCTCGGGGGGGG